GGCCAGTGGAAAAGACACTCCTGACTCTCTCTGGGCCTTGGTTTCCCATCTGTAAAATGGGGATCATACGCCTTCCTTTCTCCCACCCTTTGTTTGTCTTCTTTATTTAGGCTGCAAGCTGTTTTTGGCTGAGACCATCCTTTCTTATGTGTCTGCACAGTGCTCAGTGCAATGGGACCCTGGTCTCCACTGGATTCTAGAGGTGCTCCTGTTCTACAAAGAATAATCGCTCCTGCAATAACACATTCATGTATCTATGATGTACCCCCAATGCAGAACATGAAGGAGCTACCCTACCCTACCTTTCCCTAATGGCTTTCATCTGCGGCATTAGTTAAGCCTCACAAGCCCCCTGTGCCGCAGGGAAGCATTGAACCCCATTCTACAGAGAAACTGAGGCAGAGAGAGAGGCGCTAAATTTAAGGTCACACAGAGTATCAGTGGCAGAGCAGGGACTGGAACCCAGGCTCCTGACAGCCTCTCACTAACCATTAGACGAGATGGCCTCTCACGGGACAAATCCTTCAGTGCCCAGGGCTATAGAAGGACAAGGGATTGTCCTGTTGCTAATTGGGCTGGGAAAGCCCTTGGGTCTGGTCCTGAGCTAACACAATGTTCCCAGCCAAACCACCTAAAACTCCCCTGGTTCTGGCTTCTGTTGCAAACTTGGAGCTCTGGAAAGGGTCGCCAAAGCCCAGGGATCATACGGGGAAATCTGGGGTGGTTTTACGGCTTCCCGTGCAACCCACGTGATGGCTTCGCAAGTTGCGCTTTGAAGAACCAGCACCTGAAACGTCGAGGGGCGGGACACCAACCTGGCAGCACTGCTGTTCCCACCCCACCTCCCTGCTCAGATCTGGCCTTTGGCTGAGGAGTCAAACCCAGCCTGTGGACTGTAAGGGCAGGAGAGGAACCTCCATACATCCTATTCCTCAGCACGTCGGACAGCCTAAATTGTCAACGTTGAGGCTCAGTGGCCTTTGGTGCCCCCTTGTGGGTTTGGTATAGAATCATTGAACCGTCAGGCTGGAAGGGACCGTGAGACGTTATCACCCCCAGCCCCCTGTGCTGAGGCAGGACCAAGTCAGGGCCGGCTCCAGGCACCAGGCAACCAAGCTGGTGCTTGGGGCGGCACCTGGAGGGGGGCGGCACGGTGCTCCGGCTGCCGGGGAGAGCGGGGCCACAGCCGGGCTCGCCGCCCTGCCCCCGGCGCTCTGGCCGCCGGGGGGAGAGCCGAGCCCCAGCTGGGGCTCGCCGCCCTGCCCCCAGCGCTCTGGCCACTGGGGGGGGGAGAGCCGAGCCCCCGCCGGGGCTCGCCACCCTCCTCCCAGGGCTCCGGCCGCCCTCCCCTCCGGCGCCCTCCCCCCGGCCGCCGGGGGGAGAGCGGAGCCCCCGCCGGGGCTCGCCGCCCTCGCCCCGGGGCTCCAGCCGGAGGCTTTTTTGCCTGGGGCGGCAAAAAAGCCAGAGCTGGCCCTGGACCAAGTAAACCTAGACCATCCCTGACAGGGGTTTGTCCAACCTGTTCTTAATCACCTCCCATGATGGGGATTCCACAACCTCCCTGTTCCTGAGCTTAACTACCCTTAGCGTTAGAAAGCTTTGCTTACGATCTAACCTAAATCTCCCTTGCTGCAGAATCAGATTAAGCCCATTACGTCTTGTCCTACCTTCAGACATGGAGAATAATTGATCACCGGCCTTCCTACAACTTTTAACATCGGAAGACTGTTAGCAGCTGCCCCCTCAGTCGTCTTTTCTCAAGACTAAACGTGCCCAGGTTTTTTTTAACCTTTTCTTATAGGTCGGGGTTTCTAAACTTTTGTTGCTGTCCTCTGGACATTCTCCAATTTGTCCACATCGTTCTTAAACTGCGGTGTCCAGAACGGGACAACTTCCTCTTGTGTCTTATATGCAGCCCTTTTCATAACCACATCACGTTGTTGACTCATCTGCTCTTTGTGATCCACTGTAACCCCCAGAGCCTGTTCAGCATTAGGACCACCTAGACAGTTATTTCCCATTTGGTAATTGTGCATTCGATTTTTTCCCCCCTTCTCAAATGAAGCACTTTTTACTTGGCTTTATTGGGTTTCAGCGGGTTGATTTCAGACCAGTTCTCTAAGAGCGCGTCTACACTTGAAATGCTATCGCTGTGCTGCTGTAGCGCTTCAGTGTAGACACTACTTATGTGGATGAGAGAGGATCTCCCATCAGTGTAGGTAATCCACCTCCCCAAGAGACGGTAGCTAGGTGGGTGGAAGAATTCTTCCACCAACCTAGGGCTGTCTACACTGCGGGTTAGGCTGGCATAGCTACTTCACTCGGAGCTGTGCGTTTTTCACACCTCTGAGCGACGTAGTTAAGCCAACGTAATTTTCTAATGTAGGCCAGGCTTAATATAGCCCCTCTGGAAGCTCCCTAAACCCTCTTCTGGTTCAAAAGCTCTGTGGTGTGGCGGTTCTGGGGCCCGGGCACCTGGAAGGCTGGTGGCCCCCCAGCTGCATAGCCACACTCAGTCTGCTCTTTCAGAGGACAAAGGACACTGACCCCAGTCCCAATTATTGCAGGTGACCCCTTCCTATAATCCCGTTCAAAAATTTATCAAGCTCCACTTTTAAACTAGTCAGGTTGTTTGCCCCCACTACCCTACTGGGAGGCTATGCCAGAGCCTCCCTCCTCTGATGGTTGGAAATCTTCTTCACACACACACAGCTGGGCAGGAGTAGAGCTCAGATTCTCTTTTTCCAACAGACATTCCTCCTCCCCCGCTTGCAGTAAAGGAGAGAATCTCCACTTAGCCCTTAGCAGTCTAGGGCACATGACTTGCAGTTGGGCAGTTCCGATCCCACTCAGTAGGGGGCTGGTGCTGGGGGATCTGGGCCCCAGAAGCGAGAGGGGAAGGTCTGGTTACGGTTGGTGGTTTGATGCTCCGAGTTCTTTTCTGTGCCATGGTAAGTGGTGTCATTTTGAATCGTTGGCAAATCCAGCGGGTGAAAAGCGTGTGGGCATCAAGGCTGCCCATGTTTGTGTGACAGGGTGTCTCGGGAACTGCTCTGGACCTGGATCAGGGCTGTGAGAGCGGAACTCTCAGCTTCACTTCAAAAGGAGCTGTGAGGAGGGAGCCCTGTAATGCAAACGAAGGGGCCCTCAATAATCATACAGACAGGCTCTGTCTGGCTGGTGCGCCACTGCCCTCTACAGGGTAGAATCAGAACTGCCTACCTGTGTTTCATAGGCTCTACACTGCTACAGCTGAGGGAGATTTTCTGTTCGCTCAGGTGGAGGGCTGTCTTTTGCAGGAGGGGGCTTTGGAGTTTGATCGGTGGGGTCACTGGTATGTTCTCAGTGGTTGGAACACACAGTGTAGTCACAGCCGTGCACTCAAGGCACGGCAATGAACTTCTACCACATCATACAGCGATGAAACCATTCAACGCTTGTCCATTTTCTTAACCGGAAAAATAACAAAACAGCAACCACTCTGCTAAGCCCGAGTGTGGGTCTGTTTCAATGCCCTGGGTGGCTCTCACCCATTTCCTAGCGGCCAGGCACAAAGACCCCCATCACTGTTGGCCTCTTTGGTGGTATTATCGGCAGAGTAGCCAGTGAGTGATAATAACAGTTACCTCCTTTTGCCATAGACCCCAAAGCACTTTACAAAGGCCAGTCCCATTATCCCCATTTAACAGAAGGGGAAAGTAAGGCACCAAGAGGGAAAGCAACTTGTCTAAACTCAGCTAGCAGCAGAGTCAGGAATAGAATCCAGATCTCCTGAGTCCCAATCTGCTGCCCTATCCACTAGGTCACACTACCAATGGATCATTGAAACTGAGCTCCCCACTGACACGAGAGTCGGGAGGGTCCCTCCACGTCAGGACTGAAGCAGGCAGGCTGTGTGTGTGGGAGGTTTGCCCTGGGTTTGGCACCCTTTCTCAGTCACACTTTCTATTAGGGTTCCATGTATAAAGGACTATGAAACGATCAATGGCTGTTACAAGCATGTGCCAGTCATGCGTATTCTAGACAGTTATAAGCCCATCTGCAGAAGGTGTTAAAGATGGTTCTAAACTGTGCTTGTCAGTAACCTATTGGACTCTATAACAATCTATAACAGTTGATTAACCCTTTATGAAAGCTGCTATTAACCCTCCATTAACTATTTATCAAGGTACTCTTCCTATAAAGCGTGACTTATTCCTCCAGCAAATGCCCATGAGAAAGTGACCAATAAATAAATAAAGCGGTTTCCTTTCTCCCCCTCTCAGTGCAGAGAGGTCACCGCTTGGATGGATCAAGCTCCACAACACGCGATACCCACAGCAGGCACAATGACACCAGCTGGATTGTTGGGCTATGGCTGGCTGAGTTGACCCTGACGGCTTTATAATACCCATTGTATGGCTGGTGCATGAGAAGTGATCTTCTGCTGCTTTATACACCCTGCACCCCTTACAAACCCAGATTATCATGTCATGGTTTAGATTCCCCCTCTTTAAAATGGGGACCTCTCACAGGGATGTTGGGAGACTAAATTCATTAAAAGGGTCAAGTCTTGAGTTTTTGACTCAGGCAAACTACAATTGACTTCCACTTAGGCTAAGAATTAGTAACTGGTGATCTGTTGATCTAGAGTCACCATCAAGCCAGCTGTAGAAGCAGAAAAGCCGGGCTATTGCTACATCCATGTTCCATCCGCCCGTGTTCCCATTTACCAATGAACCAGCAGAGATTAGCCCAGCCCTCACTGCTGAGAAATGATTTCAGCTGAACTAGGCAGCGGTGATGCCTTCACTCACAAAGGAAACCCTCCTGCACAACAGGAAGCCTTCACTATCATGCCCACACAACTGTGAGCATTTCAAAACATCTCATGTTTACTCTCTTGCAGAATCCCGGGCTGCTGGACGGAGGTGCCAGCTCTGACCTCTGCTCCATTGGCTGGACGCGGGGCCGGCTCCTGTCCTGTCTTTGTGCTTTCTCTAGCTCTGGGCTTTGCTCTTCCTCAGGGCTTGCCGGTTCCTCAGAAGATGCCTGCTCCAGGGCTAAGCCATTCAGTAGATCCCTCTCTCCCTCCTCTCTTAACTGACATCCCCGAGGCCAGGGTTAGCCTGCTGTACAGCGTGGACTCCTGTCTGCAGCTGGCAGCCAGGCAGAACATCAACCTCATCCTGCAGCACTACAATTACACGGGGAAGCTGGGCAGACGGCGGCCCCAGGAGGACAGGATGGGCCTCCTCAAGGTGGCCTTCATCGCCATTAGCTGCCTCATTGTGCTGGAGAACCTGCTGGTGCTGATAGCCATCGTGAGGAGCCTGCGTGCCCGCCGGTGGGTCTACTCCTGCATCGCCAGCATCACGGTGAGCGACCTGCTGGCCGGGGTGGCCTATATCTGTAACATCTGCCTGTCGGGCAGCCGGACCTTCCAGCTGACGCCTGAGCTGTGGTTCCTCCGGGAGGGCGTACTCTTCGTTGCCCTGCCTCCACCTTCAACCTGCTGGTGACGGCCATCGAGCGCTACAGCACCATGGTGAGGTCCATTGCCGAGAACGAGGCCAGCAAGACCTTACGCCTGCGCAGTCTCATCGTCTCCTGCTGGGCCTTGGCCATCCTCATTGGGATGCTGCCCCTGCTGGGCTGGAACTGCCTGTGTGACTTCCCCAGCTGCTCCACCCTCCTGCCCCTCTACTCCAAGAACTACGTCCTCTTCTGCGTGGTCATGTTCAGTATGATCCTGCTGGGCATCATCGGCTTCTACGCCTCTATCTACCACCTGGTCCGGGCCAGCTCCCAGCAGGCCATCACCCGCCACAGCCGCAATAGGTCCCTGCGGCTGCTCAAGACCGTCCTGATGATCCTGGGGGCCTTCATTCTCTGCTGGAGCCCGCTCTTCGCCTTGCTGCTCCTCGACGTCTTCTGCGAGTCCCAGACCTGCAAGCC